CTTTTGCAGAGAGGATTCCCCTTAATGGCTTAGAGGAAATTAAATACAATTGGCCAGGCTGTGACACAGAGTGAGCTGCTTCATTGCATGAGGAATTTAGTGTAAAGCCTCCCTGCCCTAGGACAGGTACTCAAACACAACAGTGCTAACAAAGTTTCCATTCATTTTGGTTGCTTTATCCTCAAGACAGAACAGTACTTAAAAACCAAATTAATGTAAGTTACTCTCCAGAGATACTAAGCTTTGCAAGCAAACCCACAACACATTCCTTACAGAACTTGTGTCAGGGTTCACACAGTAACGACACAACCAAATCTATGATTAAAGCTGAACATAAAGAATTTGTTCATTATAAACTGATTACATTTTAAGACTATTACATTTCCTCTATGAACCTCTTGTACAGCAACTGAAATTGCTTGTTGCAAACTTTAGCTGAAAATGTCTCTTACACAAGCACTTTTTTGGGGAAAAATTGTAAGAAAACAAAGGTACTGCCATGAGAATTCAAGAGCACATCCAACACCAACTGTTGGTGCTGCTCATAAGCTTTAAATTACCCTTTTGAAGCACACGGTAATAAAATGCCTTATAAAGTACAGCAGTGGAGATTGTCTTAAATCAAGAAAAAGGAAAGCACCAGGAAGGGAAAAGAGACAGCTTTGTGTATTGTTTTCTGTTTATATTTCAGTGTCTTTTTGTTTCTTACACCTTGGGTCTAAAGACAGTAACCAAATAAATTAGTCATAGAAATTGGCAGGCAGTGAAATACACACACAAACTCAAAAGAAAATTAAAAAACAGAATAAGAAAGGTGGTCAATAGGTAAAAACACTGTGTTAAAAAGAAGTGATTTACCTCATTTTTTAAGAGAAAGAGGTAAATAGAATCTTTATACAATTCATACAAGAGGTAAGTAACTCTGCATATAAAGTGAGCAACTAAGTATGAATTGCTGCAAAATTCTAAATAAAAAGGGCTGGAAACCCTTAACTACTACTCCACACCCAGTCATTAATGCAGCCAGTTACATATTGCAGTCATTAACATCCCCAGAAATTGTTTACCTTGCTGCTGCTCTACAGCAATTTTGGGTTTAAAATGTGCTTCCAAATCAACTGGACTGGAATAACCATATGCTTTATATGTGGAAGCTGCAGTAATGGCTGAAGTAACGATAAAATCTGCTCAGGAAGTCATGATAATTTAGAGAATATCTTCTTTAAGAGAATAGTTCTGTACAGTTTCAGTGTTCAAGGAAACCTCACAGGTTTTGTGCATCCTTCCCCAAAGAACACAGCAGTTCTTCTGTTATAGGGCACCACTGAGAGAGAATAAAGAAGTCTGATGGCAGAGCGGGTTCATGACAAGTTTCATGATGAACAAATGATGACCAAGAAAAAACCCCCAACTTAGGTCTTGGCTCCAGCCTGAGTATTTTTACTATAAAACCCAAGGCACTTGTGTTGATCAACAAAACCTGATTTTGTCCCCATAACAGAAGATTACAAGCCTGTTCTTTGAATTTGTGTCAAATCTCATTCTCAAATTATAGCTTCTTAATTATTGAAACAATTGCACGTGCTTCTGCACTGAACTGTTACCCACCCTGTGCCTGCAGGGTCTCTGGCTTCAGAGCTACAGGTTTCATACTTTTCCATGTGCTTGGAATAACATTGGATGCATTCTTTTGGTCTGCTGAAGATTCATTTATATCGCTGAAAGATGACAGAAATGGGACTTTTCTTTCAAAACAGCACAACATGCTTTTCTTTCAAATGTACTTCAAAACTAAATAGTAAGTGCTATTATACACTTTTAGCTAAACTGCAAAACAATATTAGATGCCTACACCTCCAATAAGACAGAGGAAAAAAAGACAGCCTAGGAAAGAAAGGCTTCTTTTTGTTTGCTTTATTCTTGCTTTCCTACCTATGGCAAAATGAAAATAGAAACAGCGAGAGGGAGGGAGATTAATTTTGTAAATTTTCCCCGTTACACCTTCCTCTCTTCAACACAGTCAGAATAGCTGGGACTAATCAAGGGTCTGAATAAAATAATCTGGGCATCCTACCATTAAAAGGTTTTTAAAGTCTGTAGTAAGTTCAGTGTATTTTTTTTTTAGTAGCAGATATTAAAGTTGGATGTCTCTTTAAACGTGGTAAAAAACCATACCATGTGTTATGATCAGCACCAAGATTCCTTCCCAGTGTTGATGCAGAGTGAAAAAGAAAGGGAAAAAAGTTTAATTTTTTACACATGCTGGGAAAAAAGAAAGGAATGGGTGCTTTTTTATACCAATGAGAATTCATAATGCACTCTGAGAAGCTTTCTTAAAGGCATTGAAGATCCCTGTAAGTAGTTTGCTTATACTCCTATTTCTTTTCCTCAGTTACACAATAATCTGAAAAGAATTATGGTGCTGTACTCCTGTTCTTTCAGAAATCTCTCTGAATCTCTCTTCTGATTACAGGCCAATTATGTGTGAAAAAACAGCCCAGAACATCACATTCTGTAATAAACAGCGAGGTGCTGCCCTGGGCCTCAGGATTCATTTTGTCCCCTTTCTCAAAAATAGACACGTGATTCCCCTTTTCCATTTCTTTACATTATTTACAAACTACCAAACGAACACGAAATAATTTTTAAAGTATCACCCCCTTCTGTTCTTAATAATTCAGTGGGAACATTATCAGCACCTGGTGCTTTGTTGTTCCTGGGTGCTCTGGTCACCTCTTGGTTCTTCTACAAATGGCTCAGCTCATCACTAAAGAGATCACTCTCTCTATCTCTCTATAATTGCACTTCTTGTAACTAAGTTTTCCATTTTGTCCTTTATCTGACTCATGCACAGTTCATGTCCTTGTCTCAAATGCTGATATCTCACTAAAATGATCTGGAGTTATCTTATTACGCTGCCACTTCAGCTGCACAGAGCTCTTTTTGTGCCACACCATCTTTCTGCTGAATCATTTGCATTACCAGAGGACTTATGGAATTAAAAAAATCTTTACCATGTATTGCTTTCTTATACTCCCCATCAAAATTTAATTTATTTTTTTTTCTTGGAGTTCTTTCCATGGTTTTCACCTGCTCTTTTCTTTACTCCAAATGTTTTCCAGCCGGTATAAAATTGTTGCACAATAGTCAAGCGTGTTCCCACCTGTAATACTTGGGGTTCAGGTCTGTATTTGTTCCTCAAAGGTCAGGCATTTGCTACACTTAGAACTTCTGCCTTCATTAAAACAACTTTAGTCATTATTTTTATCAAACACTAAGATCTCTCTGAAGCATCTAACTTCAGCAGATTTGTTCACTGATAACTTGGAAGTATCAGACGATTACTGGTACCTTCCACACACTCAGGGATAGAGATGTTAACTTTAGTAGAATTTTAACCATCTTTTCAAGGCTGTGGAATGGCAAGTGGAACTGTATATGCATCACAGCTACCTAAAAGCAGCATTATAAAGCTTACTCAGATTTTGCAGTTCACTCTGAAAGATACTGAGGAACCCCCACATATTATTATTTCCGATTTCATCACTCCAGATGAATAAAACGTCCAAGGACATTTCTAGTATCCTCCTTTGGCAAGTTCACACGCTAGGAGGTATTTCTAAATGCTGATACAAACTATCCAAGTCTCTTCCCCTGCTCCTGCATTGTTTTCCCCACACTATCTTAACATGTTTCATTCCTTTGTGTACAATGAAGCCAGGAAATTTTTCCCACAGGAAAACCCCAGCAGCTCTGCCTTTATAGGCACCCCCAACCCTTTGGTTACAAAGGCTGTGGAATAACCACCACCGTGAATCACTAAAACCACATGTGCTTCCTGACAGAATTTTATGTAAAATATGCAAAGCAACGTGTTTCTTCATATTTCTTGGAAGAGTGATGGAAGTAACAACCCTGAGGAAAACAATATTGAAAATTTCAAGCCAGGTGACACAATTTTAGCTAAAATAGTCCTTTATGTACATATATATATATATATATATAAATATGTATATATATTTAAATCTCCCTCAGTGCCCTAGGCAGTCCCCTCTTCTTTTTAAGGGAAGACGGGACTTGGGACTCAGTGCCATGGTCTAACTGACGTGGTGGTGATCGGTCGAAGACTGGACTCAATGTTAGAGGTCTTTTCCAACACAATTGATCCTGCGATTCCCTCCTTGGCTCCCAGGTTTTCCTTTCCCCTGGAACTCCCCGGGCGCTGCCTGAGGTGAATCCCCGCTTTCTGCCGCACCTCCGCCCCGACACGGGCCGAGCCCCCTCAGCCGCCCCCTCAGCCTCCCCCTCCCCTGTGGGCTCCGGGGAAATTTTATTTATTAAAAATTTGTTCTCGGTTCTTGTTTTTAACCCCCACGGGCTCATTTCGCCCCACAGGGACCGAGCACACACCCAACCCCTCCCCGGGAGCCGCCTCAGGCGGCCCCTCAGAACCCCCGCGCACCGCGGGGCGGGGCCTCCTCGCCGCTCCGCCCCCCGCGTTCCGCACTTTCGCCATACCCGTGCCCCCGCCCTCACCGCCCCCGCCGAGCCCCGTGACCGTTATTGTCGAACGCGCCGTGTCCTCTTCGATACCACGGAGCCGTCTGAGCTGTGTTTTCCCTCCGGATTTCACACTCGGGCTGCCCGAGCCTGCGGCGAATCTGCTGCTGGCGAGAGCCAGCCCGGCCCTGCCCCTGCGCCGCCAGCGGAAGCGGAAGCGCCGCCATTTTGTCTCGGGTGATGGCGGCAGTGGCGCTCCGGGGCTGGGGGGTTTAGCGCGGGCCCGGCCCTGGCGGGGACTCGCTGCTCGGACAGTCGCTCTTCCTGCGAGCTGCCGCTGCCTCGCTGAGGCCCCCGGGGATGTACGGAGGGGCCGGAGGGTCTCGACGGACTTCGGAAGAAGCAGGCCCGCCGCCCCTAATGTTGTTGTCAGGCGGGGGAGCGGTGCCCGGGCCCCCCGGAGCAGGTGGAGGTGGAGGCGGGAATAGCCGTGTGGAGCTGCTGGTGTTCGGCTATGCCTGCAAGCTGTTTCGGGATGATGAGAAGGCTCAGTACCAGGAACAGGGGCGACACCTTATTCCTTGGATGGGAGACCCCAAGATCATGATCGATAGGTCGGTGTAACACAACTCCCCAGACTCTGCTGCGAGCCCTCCTCCTGTGATAGCCTCTTTCTGTTCCCCCCCTTGTGCTGTGGGCAGGTGAGGGCGGGGGATGAGCAGCGGGGATGTTCTTCGAGGGCAGCTCCCCCTGGAAAAGCGCTCCGGGGGCTGCTTTGGTGTCGCTGCAGGGCCCCCCCGGCAGCGGGAACTCGGCGTTCCCCGCTCCGGCGGCGCTGGAGGTTCCCGGCCGTGCGCGGTGGTCCCTGTGCTCCGCAGGGCGGAGCGGAGAGCGGGAATGGGCTGTTCCTTTTCAGTGCGGACCACAAACATCCTCTGCTTCTCACTTGGAGTCCAAGGGAGCCCGACTGCGTTGGGAATACCTTGCTAGGCACGCTGTGTGTGTTCTCTAGGTGAGAACGGTGCAGTGTGGGCAGTGCAGAGGTGTTCACCCACCTCAGAGCAAATGGGGATTTCTTGTTTCTCCTACATAATCTGGCTGCAGGCTGTTGGTGGGACACCCCAAAAGCAATTCTTGGCCTAATTACTTTTTCCTTGTGCCATGATTCACTGTATTAGTCAGAATGGAGTTGATTTTGGGTGATTGCTGTTCAAATTTTATGTGAGGGGCGGCTTTTTTTTTGGTGGTTGTTCATGCAGTAGGTCCAGGTTCGTGGCCAGAGAGAGGAATAGAATCCGCCTTGATGTTCCTTCTGGTCTCTGAGTTGTTTCAGCAGTGCAGGGTGGGATTTAGAAATTAATTCATTGAGAAAGAGTTTTCTGGATGTTGTGCTGGAGAGAGGGAAGATGGGAGGTCAGGTTGGTTATATTTGAGTGGAGCACTGAAGGAATAATTTAAGAGTTGTGGCTGACCCTGAAAACCTCATTGGGAAAGATGGAAGGATTTTGGTTTGAAAAGGATCACATGACATACTGTAGATATTTTTTCCCTCAATTTCATCATTGCTTTGGTGCTAGACTTGATTTTCTTGTTGTGACTTAAGAGCTGCATTTGGCTTGGAAAAATGTCAATAAAGGAAGGTCTTTCCACTCCCTTCCATTAGACTGGAGAAAAAAGAGGTGCCCTTGCACTGTTTTGGTGTCTGTACTGTTAATGACTTTTTTATCATTGAAATTAGTTTGATAAATTGAAATAAGCACAAACACCTGAAAAAACAACCATAAGTGTTTGTAGCTGTGTTTTGTTCTCAGTTACGTGAGAATGGAAGTGTTACCTTGCACACTTGTGATCCAGATCACTTCTGTGACAGATCTCATGGGTAGGTAGAGGCTGGTTTTGGGGTCCTGTGCAGTAGCAACCCCGTTCCCAGGTGGCACAGAAATTGTAGGGAGCAAACACTGAGTATGTGCATGTCAGTGCACAGGCACTGAAACACCTGAATAATGAACCTTTGTGAGTTAAGGCAGCTTGCAATTGCTAATCTTATAAACTCCTTTGGAAGCTTAGATTCCTTTTATCTCCAGCAGCAGGAAGTCTCCATTATCACCATTTTGAGCAAAGCACATTGCTATGAGAAGACTTGGGTTGAAGTTTGCCTGTGGACAGAGCTTGATTAACCAGACCTGTGTGTTTCATTCACTTTTTTGCTGCGAGAATATTTACTTTCTTTGTTTTTGGTCTAGCGAGTTGGCACAAGTCAAGAGTTGTGTGTGGGAAGACACCTCAGCGGAGTCGAGTTTACTGTCACTTTACTTTTCCAATCAGTTTCTCTTGCTGGTGCACAAACATTATCCCAGGGCAGTGCTTTTCCTGCAAACCAAACCGTCTCCTGGCAGACGGGAACTGTCCGTCATTGATCTCTGCCGGTTTTGCGGTGAAACCTCCTTAAATTGCATGTTTATGTTACTGTTCCTATGTATGTGTGTCTCTCTATCACATAACCCAGAACTTATTTCCTCAGCCAAATGGCTAGGGGCCGAGCCTAGCCATGATTTTACCTCCAATGGACGCAAGTTTCTATGGTGAAGATTTCTCCTGAGAGTTCGGGACTAGCAGAAAGAAGCGAGGAAATTTCGACCGTTTGGTTCTTACGGATAGGTATTTATGTACTCGGGTTTGTGTGAATGTAAGCTATTTGACTTTCCAGAAAAAACGTATTTTGCAAAGTGACATTGATTGGTTGGTTGAAGCACGTACGGTAAGAAGCTGTTAAGGAAATGGATCCCACTTTAAAAAAAAACCTATTAAAGGATACCTTTTTTTGCCTTTAATTGTTAATAATTTATTAGTTTCTTTGAGAGGAATTTAGCCTGTTAAATTTTCGATAGTTGGCGACAAATGATTAGCAAAATTAATCGTAACTTCTAAAAAAGGGAGTTTGCGTTAACGTATAAGTTTGGTGTTTTTTTTTTTCATTTTTTAATGGGTAAGTATTTTAAGTAGTCACATAAACCCAAGCCCTAAGTTCTTTGCATTGACCAGCTGTTTCATCCTGCAGGTATGATGGGCGTGGTCACCTGCATGACCTTTCTGAATACGATGCTGAATATTCCACGTGGAACAGAGATTATCAGTTGTCCGAAGAGGAGGCTAGAATTGAAGCCCTCTGTGATGAAGAGAGGTATTTAGCCTTGCATACGGACTTGCTTGAGGAGGAGGCAAGGCAAGGTATTTGCTCGAGGAAACTTCCTGAGTTTAGCACATGTTTAAAGAAATGATTGTGAAATTAAATTTACTCCTAATTTTATACTCTCTTTTTCTGATGTTATCTTGACAGTACCCAGTGGATTCGAAAAGCGGGAGGCTTTGCGTATGTGAGAGGACCTCAGGATAGTTTAACTGTAGAGCCACACAGAGATTGCCCAGATTCTCAGGGCAGACTGGGATTTCAGACCCCCCCCCCCAAATGCCCCAAAATAAACACATTGTGCTTCTTTTTTAGTGTTGTATAAGTGAAATTCCGTGCTTTATGTGCATAATTGCGTTAGAATGTCTTAATCCGCAGCCTGTGTCTCTTCCAGAAGAATTAAGTGCTCAGCATGTGTTACATGCTGTGTTTTTCTGTTCAGTTTTTAATGAAAGCTAAAATGATCAGGTGAAAGCTTCTAATTTTAAAACTAAAGTAAGAAATATTACTTCTATTTTTTTTTAAATCAATTAGCTTCCAAATATGTTCTAATGTTGGCAATTGCATTTTTGTTCAAGAGGAGGAATATAAAAGACTGAGTGAAGCTTTGGCAGAGGATGGTACCTATAATGCAGTGGGATTCCGTTATGGCAGTGATTATTATGACCCTTCAGAACCCACTGAGGAGGAGGAGCATCAACCTGCAAAACAAAGAGGTAAGGGGTAAAAATAGCAAGGGTTAATTGAGAGGGAGGACACTGCACCTCTGTGTCTTGCAGTTGCAGGCTGAAAATATGTGTGTCATTAAAATGCAATTAAAAATTCTCAAAGCATTTCATCAAAGTCTTTATGGGACTCTGTTACTGAGTTTTTGCAGACTTTGTTCTTGATGAGCTTAAATGTTTTCTGTTACAGCACAGTCAATACTGCAGCAGTCAGGGAATTTAATTCTGCTGTCTTGCAGATTCTTATGGAGAAAAAACTAGTAATTCCTCACATGGCTGTCTGTTGACACTGTGTTTCTTAGTCAAGAAGGAAAATATAATTGTAAACATAGAATAGGAATTAATAAGAATTTATATTTTTTTAAGTTTAGATTTTGTCATCTTAATTATTAGAAATGAGTCTGTCTTCAACATAATGTGCCCACTCCATGACCTAAAAAGTACAGAATTAAGTTCTCTAATTACAATAACTTTGTATTTTTAGCATGAAGCCTTAAGGAAACTTTCAATGGTTTTTGAACTATGTCTTAGTAAAGTTAGGATTGTTTAATTACCAGTTGGGTTGCCTAACTACATATTAATGTGTTACTGTGGTACAAGATGTGCTTTTCTTACCAAGGTGTGTGTGCTGCAGTGCAGGATCATTTCAGGTGCTAAAGCTTATTCAGGGTTTTTTGCTGCTGTGTATGAGAGGCTGTGTCAGGGCAGTGTCTGTTGCTTGCATTCCACAAAGAGTTTTTTTCTGTGCTCTGTGTGATGCTGAATTGCATTGTCTCTTCTGGAGTTTAATTCATTTGTTTTTGACTCCATCACCAAATAGTGTTAGCTGGAGCTGCTGCCAAAAGAAACACTCCCATTCTGATTTGTCTGCTTCTTCCTTCTTTCCTTGATGCTAAAATTTCTCTGTGCCTTTGGGGAGTTAAACTATTTGAGTTCATTTAAAAAAAAAACAAAAAGCAACCCACCAGAAAGCAGCCAAAAAGTCCCTTTGTTGCATGGTTTGTGAGCAGTGATTGCTGTTTCATCTCATGCATGATGAGGCTGCTCTGCTGTGCCCAGAGTTCCCGTGGTCAGGTGTCCACGCACTTGGTCCTGTCTAGTTTGTAAGGGGAAACCTGGAATACAATTTCTCTTAAAGCCAATAGAATAGATAATATAGTAACTTACTTTCTAAAGTAAACTTTTCAATTATTATAACAATTTGTAAAGCAAAATATTTTCAGAGGGACATTTCTGCTCTAGCAAATAACAGAACGTTAAACAAATTGTTCCTTATAACCATATTTAAATGTCTTCAGTGCAAATGCAGGTTATGATTGCATTTGATAAATTCCTTGAGTGCACATCCTTTTGGGCATAATTGGTTTTGAACATTTGGGTACTTTGACATGTTTTGTCCTATAGTATTTTCTCCTGTCATTTCTTGCAGAAGCAGCTCAGACAGAAAATATAGAAGAAAATGAAGAACCTTTTGTTGCCCCTCCGGGACTGAATGTCCCCTCTGATGTGGAACTGGTATGTGTGTACATTTAATGCAGCTACACTTGTGCCAACTTTTGAGGAGCTGATGGTGCTCCACTGTTTGGTGACTGGGTTGGGTTTTTTTCCATTAACTTCACTGTGGTATATTTTAAATTATTCTAAAAGAGTGGCTTCATTCCTGAGTTCTGTGATCATTCTCGAATCATCTTTTTTCTCATTGAAATGATTGCAGGGCTTGTACTGAGTGCATTTAGTATCACTTGTGATATTATTTTAGATAATGCAGAGAAAGGGCAGTTGTTCTTGGAATGGATTCTTGCCGAGATGTCAAGGCTGACATTCTGAACGTAAAGGACCATTAAACCGAAAGATTGCTTCTGTTCAGGAGGTTCTGGATTCTTTTTAATTGAGTCCCAATCTGAAGGGGATAGGAATTGACCAAGTGTAAAGGCTGTGTTTGAAACTAGCCTAAGTGTGAAATAACTTGAAAGTATTAGCTTACAGAAGTTTATAGAAGCTCTTTCCTTCATGTGATGTCACCAGAATTTGCTACATAATTTAAACTTAATTGCAACATGCGTATTCTTCCTGCCTCCTGAAGTTTACTGAACAGACACCTACTTGAGTACAGTTCTAACCTTGAGGGTTTTCAATTTATATCAATTTTTATAAAAGATGCTGGGAAGTCAAATAATATTCCTTTTTCTATAACCATAGTCACAAAAGTGTTAATTTATATGTGGGCTCAACTTGATAATCTTGGTCACTAAAGATTCAAAGCACTCTGCTAGAATAATAGTGAGCACAGGATATTTGTGTAAGAGTGTTTTTCTACTTCATTAGCTTTTAATTAAAAATATTTATCCTGTTGTGGTCTTTTTACATGAAATAAGAGCTATTTAACCAAACTAGTGTGCAACTTATTCTAATTTTACTTCCTCTTCTCTACAATCTATAATGCATTTCATTAGTGAGCTGGTTACCACCCTAGTTCTAAATTCAGGGAAGATTTTTATATGCTGCCTTTAAATAATGAGTTATACTTTGGCTTTATAATAAGAACCTTGAGTTCTGAGAGAGAAGCTGCTTATTTTGCATTTGGATACTGTTTCCAAGCAGTAACAACTGGTGGTGAAAGAGGTGACAGACTGTTGGTTTAGGCAGCTGCTTGGCTTGGGTTTTGTTCTGAAACTTAAGATATATTTTCTATGGATGTTGCAGAATGCAGTGTGGTACTTACCAAAGTAATTTCCCAGTCAGTTATTGAACTCCAGTATATTCACATGAACAGAAAGCAAATGTAGACATATTTGGTTTTGAGTAAAAAAGAAAAAACAGCAAACATCAAAATGTCTAGACAGCAGCTCTGAAAACAAGTCATATACTTGTATATGTATACAAGTGTATACTTGACCTTGGATTGGGAATTGTGAGAATTTGGTTTTTTACAAGCCTTGATTTGTTTTTGTTGTTCTAGTCATTCAGCTTTACCAGGGAACATATTTATTCTGTATTTTTTATTTCCACTGCTGGGAGGAATAGAAGCCTGGTAAAGGTCACTTGTAAACTTTGAATCATTTTGGGGAGGAAGCTGCTTGGAACTAAGTTAAAATTTGAGAGTCAGCTTGCGAATGTGGAGACCTTGCTCACAGCCTGCAAGGTGCAGTTCAACAAAGACAGATCTGAAATAACTTCTGTCAGACAGAGCAATGCAAAATGCAAATATTTGATATTGAAGATGAGTCAGCACAGCTGCAAAAAGGGTCCAGAGGCTGTAGTGAGCTGGGAATGTTCAGTGTGTGGCAGCTCCAAGTGCAGCAGTAATGTCCTTCTGCATCATGGAATAGAAGAGCTGTGTCCAGGGTGCAGATCTTCCACTGCTTCAGACTGTGATTATGGGCAGAGATGACTTTTTCACCAGTGCATTTTAAGAAGTCTGTGGATGCTATGAAAGTGGACTGTAAGAGGAAATTATCATTTAATAACTTCTGAGGAGAGATAGAAACAGAAAAACTTGATGTATGGTGTGAAACTGATAATGCACAAATTGTTACTGGTTTATTAAAAACTTCATTGCCTCTAATTAAAATAATCTTTGTTAGGATTTTAAAGGGACAAGTAAAACTTGTAACAATTAGTTATTTTACATGTTGGACATGTTGTCCTGGTAAGAGGATCCAGTTGTCTGAAAGCAGCCTTTAAAAATGGGCTGTTTGATAATATTCAGACTTCTTTCCCTACATGGAGCACCATGTTTCCAGTCTAATGAAAAACATTTTCTGAGGTTTGCAGCATAGTTCTGTATTTAAACCAATAAAATTGCAAAGCTAAAGCAAATCATTAGTGTGACCCTTCAGTCTTTATAGGCACACAGAGTATGTGTTTCTGTAGTTTAGTAAGCACGACAAACAGCTGAGTATGAAATTAAAGACAGTGAATGATGTTCATTCATTCTTTAGGTGTACTTTTGTTCTCTTCTCTTCTTGGGTTTGATGTGGTGGTGCTCCCTAGATGGGATTTCAGGAGTGGAATGCATGGATGCTGCGTAACTTTATTAATTTTATTTTTTCTTTTATTGTTAGGGTGTTCAATGACTCTTTAGGGGAATGTGACAGCACATAGGAGTTATAGTTCTTATGTTGGTCTTGAGAGGCAACATGTTCCTTCCAAGCAAATGCAAAGTAACAAACTTTTCTAGTTAGGGAACAATATTTGCACACTCAGAATTAAGGAGAGCTCTGGGGATGAAGACCTTATATTGTGAGTCTTCAGATAACCTTGAGGTATTGTAACACCAAACTCACCCAGGATTTGTTCCCCTTTCACTTTGGTGTGCAATGGCAGAAATAGTTGTGCTGATGGAAGGAGAGGATCTTGCAAAAGGAACTGAACGAGCAGCTGGGGAAGATTGGGACTGTGTTGGTTATTTTGTAGTGCTGATGTGCTTTCTGTAGTTGTGAGAGATCCCGAAACCTGAGCTGCCAAAGAAAGCTGAGAAGGGCAGGGAGCTCCTGTTCTTTCTAATTCCCCGTACAAGCTGCTTATGAAAACACAAATATATGATATCAGGAACAGTGTGATCAACAGGTCCAAGGAAGTGATTCTTCCCCTGGACTCAGCACTGGTGAGGCCACCCCTGGAGTGCTGTGTCCAGTTCTGGGCCCCTCAGTTCAGGAAGGACATTGAGGGGCTGGAGCAGGTCCAGAGGAGAGCAACGAGGCTGGTGAAGGGACTCGAGCACAAGTCCTATGAGGAGAGGCTGAGGGAGCTGGAGCTGTTCAACCTGGAGAAGAGGAGGCTCAGGGGAGACCTCCTCACTCTCTACAACTCCCTGACAGGAGGGTGTAGCCGGGGGGGGTTGATCTCTTTTCCCAGGCAACTCTCAGTAAGACAAGAGGGCTTGGTCTTAAGCTGTGCCAGGGGAGGTTTAGGTTGGATATTAGAAAGAATTTCTTTGCAGAGAGGGTGATCAGCCATTGGAATGGGCTGCCCAGGGAAGTGGTGGATTCTCCATCCCTGGAGGTTTTTAAGATAAGACTGGATGTGGCATCAGTGCCATGGTCTGGCAACCACAGCAGTAGTGGATCAAGGGTTGGACTTGATGATCTTGGAGGTCCCTTCCAACCCAGCTGATTCTATGATTCTCTGATTCTATATTTCCCTCCCACAGCCGCCGACAGCGAAAATGCACGCGATCATCGAGCGAACGGCCAACTTCGTGTGCAAGCAGGGAGCGCAGTTCGAGATCATGCTGAAGGCCAAGCAAGCGCGCAACTCCCAGTTCGACTTCCTGCGCTTCGACCACTACCTCAACCCCTACTACAAGTTCATCCAGAAGGCCATGAAGGAGGGACGATACGCTGCCCCTTCCGAGAGCAAAACGGACGAGAAGAAACGTGAGTTGTTGCTCATCGCGGCTTCGGGCAGTGAGTCGGTGAAACGGCCGCTGGGGTCGCGGGTAAAGCAGCCACATCTCTTTGGTGTTACCCCACAGCTGAGGTTGATGTGATGATTCAAAACTTTGCTTAAATTGGAGGAGATTTTTTGAAACGATGCTGTTTTGGAAAGCTTTCAGCTATAGCAGCTGCTGTGATTTTGGAGGTTTTAGAAACTCTCATAAAGCTCAAGCCCAACAGAAGGACTCAACACTTCAGTGTTATTGATGTCTGGCAATATCTTCTTGTATCTATGTATTTGTGAATAAGCTGATTTATATTATTGAGGCTTCCTTAAGAATTCATGCTAGTGCTGTATCATCTTTCTCTCCCAATGCAAACTCATGGCAAACCCAGCTAAAACTCAGATATTGCTTTTATTTAGACTCGAGAGTCAAATCTGAGGAAGATGATGATGATGATGACGACGATGATGGAAATTATCTGCATCCGAGTCTCTTTGCCTCTAAAAAATGCAGTAGGCTTGAAGAGCTCATGAAGGTACTTGACCCTATTAAAATTACTTTCTGTCTTGTAAAACACCTGATTCATGGACACAAAAATTATAATATGCAGGTGTTCAGGTTTTTATTGACAGAGGTTTGGGGTTTTTTTTGGACTGTAATTGGAGTCTGTTTTGATAGGCTTTTGAGTTATCTTTTCTCTAGTACATAAATTGTTATTTTTCCATTTGTAAGGAATTATATTTCTATTTTTGATGCCCTCTGGTATTGAGGGCATCACTCAAGGATTTATCCCACAGAACCTGTGTTGAAGCAGAAGAGATTAAGGTATTTAATGCCTTCTGTATATAAGCTGAGAATGTTTTCTTTTTGGATTTTAGTGAATAAAATGTTGACATGAAATAGCACTTTCAGCAAATAATATTTCACTAGAATTTACTACTCATTACATCTAAATTTTGCTGGATGTGTTAGTTATTTTTATTTTTTGAGTCTGGGCAGTGATGGAATAATGGGACTGACAGATGGTTGGATGTATTTGAGGCTTTCAGAGGAATGGCTGTGGTGCTGCCTGATACTTAGACAAGGCAGGTCCTGTGGCTTATCCCAGCCATGGCAGTACATGGCTAACAGTAATAACCACTTTTTTTTCATGTCATGCATTTCTGTTCACATGGAATTACTTTTGTTTTGTTTTCCACTGATTTTCAGAGATGTTGATTCTGATACGAGAGCTACAAAAAGATTAACTTCTCTTAGAAGTTTGTGCAGAATTATCCATGTCTATTAACTTACATAAATTTGCTTTCCCAAATATGTTGATGCCGTTATGCCTTAAATATGTACTTCCAATTTTAATCTCTTTTTCTTTTTCTCCTCTGAAAATCTTTCCAGCCTTTGAAGGTGGTAGACCCTGATCACCCACTTGCAGCCCTGGTGCGCAAAGCCCAGTCAGATAATAACTCATCCACAGCACAGTCAGCAGACGGAGCAGCTGTGCAGACATCCCAGGCAGAATACTCCTCTGATTGTAAGTGCTTTGTGATTAGGCAGCTGCTGGAGTGTCTTGATGAATTGTGTGTGGATGCTGGTGGGAAGAGAATACGTTGGCTTCATGCTCGATCCTGTGTGTTTATTCTTCTTCAGTCTCCTGAGTCTTTGGAGGTGCATTCATTACCTGTAACCTTCGGTACTTCTGCATTCTGTCCCGTACTCCACATGTTTCTTAGTCAACCTAAGTGCATAAACATGAGCTGC